TGTGCATCTGACACCAAACATCCTATAAAACTCATAATCCTACATAACAACTGTGGATTTTTTTCCCCTGCAGATTTTCAACATAATTTTTGAAAATGTATTAAATAATATAAAATGGAAACTTTTTATTTGCATTGTACTTTTGGGGATAAAAGGTATAGAATTAATCATTACAAAACTTCCTAAAATAAAATTTACAGGTCCTATAAAATGTATTATAATAGAAGTTTACCAAATATAAAACCAAAACAAATCACTGCCAATTTATAATAGTAATGGACTTTTAGGAATAATGAAAATGATCATTTCAATTTGTAGACATATGGGTCAAAGACTAAGGTGTTACAAATTCTTCAGAGAAAAGTCTTCAGCGAGAGCCTCTCCTAAAACATTAGCATTTGTGATGCCTGATTCTCTTCAAAAAGTGAACTGCAGCTGAGTACAGCGGCTCATGCCTGTAATCACACTTTGGGAGGCCAAGTTAGGAGGATCACTTGAGGCCAGGAGTTAGAGACCAGCCTGGGCAACATAGAAATGAGTGAGACCTCATCTCTACAAAAAAAAAATTTTAATAAAATTAGTTGGGCATGGTAGTGCACGCCCACAGTCCCAGCTACTTCGCAGGCTAAGGTGAGAGGACCACTTGACCCCACGAGGTTAAGGCTGCAATGAGCTGTGATTGTGCCACCGTACTCAAGTCTGGGCAACAGGGTGAAAGTCTGTTTCAAAAAGAGAAAAAAGTGAATTGCTTGCCTTCCTGTAGATTTCAAAGAGTTCAGGACACTGATGAAAAAATAAGTTGAAAGACTCACACTACCTGATTTTAAGACTCAGTAAAAGGTTAGAGTGATTAAATCAGTATAGTATTGAAGAAAAAAAAAAAGAATTAGATACATAAATAAACGGGACAGACAAGGAAGTCTAGAGATAGACTGCCACAAACAGTGAACTGATTTTGATAAAGGTGCAAAGGCAATTCAATAAAAAAACAGTTACTTCAATAATGGTACTGGAATGGATATGAATATGAAAAAAAACTTACCTCAATCCATACCTCACACCTTTACAAAAACTAACTCAAGATAGATCATAGACCTAGATGTAAAACTTAAAACTATAAAACATATAGCAAAAATAGGAGAAAATCTTGGTGCCTATAATCTTAGGCAAAGAGTTCTTAGATGCAATGTCAAAAGTACAATCCAGAAAAGAAATTCATAAGTGGGTCTCATCAAAATTTGAAACATTTGCTTTGCAAAAGTACTGCTAAAAGAACAGTAGAAAATATTTACAAATCATATATCTGACAAGTGACTTAAACCTGAGATATGTAAATAAGCCTCAAAATTTGACAGTAAGAAAACACACAACCCAATTAAAAACTGAACAAAATACCTGAACAGATAATTCACCAAAAAAAGTACACAAATAGCAAATAAACACATAAATAAATGCTTAATTTATTAGGCAGTGGGGAAAATGTAAATCAAAATCACAACAACATGGCACTACACACCTATTATAATGGGCAAAATTCGAAAGAAAAAATGATAAAGCCATACGTTGGCACAGGTGCAGAGCAACCTGAATCTATTACATTGCTAGCAAGAGTGCAAAATGGTATAGTCACTTTGAAAAACAATTGGCTCACGCCTGTAATCCCAGCACTTTGGGAGGCTGAGGCGGGCGGATCACAAGGTGAAGAGATCGAGACCATCCTGGTCAACAGGGTGAAACCCCGTCTCTACTAAAAATACAAAAAATTAGCTGGGCATGGTGGCACATGCCTATAATCCCAGCTACTCAGGAGGCTGAGGCAGGAGAATTGCCTGAACCCAGGAGGCAGAGGTTGCAGTGAGCCGAGATCGCGCCATTGCACTCCAGCCTGGGTAACAAGAGTGAAACTCCGTCTCAAAAAAAAAGAAAAACAATTTAATAGTTGCTTAAGTTACACTTACCATATAACCATATATACACTTACCATATAATCTAGAAATCAAACTCCTAAGTATTTACCCAAGAGAAATGAAAATGTGACCATACAAAAACCTTTTTATAGATGTTTAAAGCATCTTTACTCATAATTGCCAAAAGAATAAAAGTAATCCAAAGGCTGATCGGCAAGTATTTGGATAAAATTTTACAGCCATATGATGAGATATTATTCAGCAGTAAAAAGGAATGAACTACTGATACATGCAACAATGTGACTGAATCTCAAATATATTTTGCTAAGTGAAAGTAACCAGACCCAAAAGGCTATATACTGTATGATTCCATTTATATGACATTCTGGAGAGGGCAAAACTATACAGATAGACAAGTCTGTGGTTTCTAAATATGGCCAACTGTTTTTTCACAAAGGTACCGAGGCAATTCAGCCAGAAAAGTACTGAACAAATGATGTGGGAACAATAAATTAAGGGGGGAAAATGAAACTCTACCTAACATCACACACAAAAATTAATTTGAGAGGGATCACAAACTTAGACATGAAAGCTAAAACTATGAAACTTCTAGAAGAAACAAGAGATTATCTTCCCAACCTTGGAGTACAGAAAAATCATTTCACGTATATAAACAGCCAAAAGTGAAAAAGATTTTTAAGTTGGACTTCTTCAAAATTTTAAAACTTATGATCATCAAAAGAAACACTGAAAAGGCAGGCAAGAGATTCAGAAAAAATATTATTGTGATGCATATATATGACAAAGAACATGTATCCAGGATATATAAAGAACTCTTAGAAATCAACAGTTAAAACACAAATATTTCTATTTTTACATGAGAAAATAGAAGAGACACTGTACAAATGAAGATATACAAATAGCCAGTAAGTATATGAAAGGTACTCAGCATCATGAATCACCATAAAAATGCAATTGTAAACTGCAATGAAACATCATTTTAAAACCACTATAATGACTATAATTTAAAAGACTGACAATACCAAGCACCACAGAGGATGTAGAACAATAGAAACTTACATATTTTGCTGGTGGGAATATAAAAATGACACCGGTATTTTTTTTAAAACTTCTGACAGTTTCTTATGAACACACATATATCCCATGACCTGTCAACTGCACTTTAGTAGTTAACCAAGAGAAATAAAAACATATGTTGACAAAAGATTTCTACAATAATGTCTGTGGCAATTTTATTTACAATGTCTAAAACACAGAAACAATTCAAATATCCATCAACCCACAGCCCATCAAATAGTGGTGCTGTGATAAAATGGAATGCTACATGACCACAAAGAAGAATGAAGTACTGATACACACAACAACATAAATGACATTATGTTCAGGACATTAATGTTGAGTGAAATTAGGTAAACACCAATGACTTCTGAATGATTCCACTTACAGGAAATTCAAGAACAGGTGAAAACTAATCTATGATGACAGACATCATAACAATCGTTGCCTATGAGGCATAAAACTGACTGGAAGAGAGCACAGGAGAACATTCTAGGTAATGAAAATGTTTGAAGTCTTAAATGGGGTAATGATCACATGCATGTTTACATTGATCAAAACATCAGACTGTAGTTACCACGGTCTAGGAAGGGTGTGTTGGGGGAGGGAAGGGATGAAGAGAGGTAGGTTAATGGGTACAAACATACACTAAGATGGAAAGAATAAGGCCTACTGTTCAATAGCCCAGTAGGGTGACTATATTAACAACAATATGTTGTATATATTAAAATAGCCAGAAGAGAAGATTTGAAATGTTCCCAACACAAAGAAATGATAAATGTTCAAGGTGATAGATATCCTGCTCTAGCTTGAGCATTACACTCTATGCATGTATCAAAATATCACATGTACCCCATAAATACGTACATATATTACATATCAAATAAACACTTTTTTAAAACATCAAACTATACACATAAGATCTGTGCACTTCACTGTATATCAGTGTTACCTCTACAAAATTAAAATAAATAGTTTAGGTCTTTTACTTCAATAGCAGAAAATGTAGAGCATATAATATTGTAGTCTGCATTCAATGAAAAAATTACTACTTTTAGATGGTAGATTTGTTGATTCACTCAAATTCATAGAGAAAGGCAAAAGTTCATAAAGGAGCTTTAAATTAGGGGATACAGAATGGCCTGATTTTATGCCCTCTGAAACCAGTTATTGGCAAATAAAACATAATCATAATAATAATTTTATTTATATGTGTGTGTATATATATATATATTTATGTAGTTTGGTTATTTTTTAGACTTGCCAATATAAGCATGAATGGATCATATAAAAGGGTTAAATAATCAACCATGGGAAGAATATACAACCTTCTGGTTCCTAAGTATCCTAACTTAGGAACAAAAGTGACCTATTAGTAAATTCAGTGCCAAAAAAGTATATCCTATCATCCTGTTATTCCTGACTGGGTGAGGATGATAGTTAATGATATAAATAACGTTGACAATAATTTGCATAGAAAATACATGGTTATGTTAACAACCCATAACTTCTACTCTCAGTCAAGATATAATACATAATACAACTCAAAGTGAATTACTTTTGATACATGGCCTACAACTATAATGCTAGTTCTTATATAATGTCAGTAGGCATAAGAGATTTTAACCCCAAATAAATTTAAATGATGGTTCACATAGGAACCTCCATAAATGGAGTAAACCAGATAAAAGAATACCTACACTAAAACTGACAATATATTACCAAATAGTTTGACCTTTCATTTTAAAAATAAGTAAAGGAAATACAATTTTAGCATTTAATTAGCTGATCAATGCATTTGGGGATATTTTAATCAAAAACCCATATATTTCCAAACTTACATGAAAAACAATCCTTAATATAAACACACATACACACACATATGTGTGTGCATCTAAACAAGTTCTATGATGTTAAGAAGCTTAAACTGATTTAGCATTGTTACTAGAAGAAAAACACTTCATATGGTTACAACGAGTAATCCATTTTTTAAAGCTCTTTGTAATGGTAGCATACCTGTGCCCTCTTCTGCACCTCCAGGAGGAGTTCAGAATACTGCAGCTCCAGTTCCTTCTTTTGTTTGTGCCAGCAGCTCTCTTGGGCTTTGATCTGTTCTGCCACTTTGGTAAAGGTGTCTTCCTGAGTCTGCTGAAGCTCTCTCATTGTGTCCGACTTGTTTTTACAGATATACTCTAAATGGCTTATCTATATGGGGAGATGCAACAGATAAGGAAATATGCTCACAAGCCATTTCTTTGTGTCATCTCCCCCAATAAAACACCCAAAATGGTCTAATTTATTTTATTCCTTAAAATCATATAAAAATTGTAACATAAAATGTAAATAAATTTTTTAAAAAAGAAAATAGCAGAGCAAATTGCCATACTTTAGCAGAAAATAGTGTCATTTGTATACTTAGATGGCAAATTTTTCATCTTCTCTTTCTAATGAAGTTACTTATTCTATAATTAATTTGATTGTGATTGAGAAAGATACTGTTACTTCTGAAATCAAGGCTCCAGCTATTCAAATACTTCAATGGAAAAGAAAGTAAATAAGATTTTTTAAATCTGCAAACAGTTTCATGAAATGAAGCAGAATGTTGTAACCATTTTTTGTTTCACATTCAAACACTAGAAAGAAAATGCTCATTTTCTAAAATGTATGACTATTAAAGATGTTTTGAAACAATAAAAACTAGTAAAAACATAATACCATCTCATAGAGTTAAACACATTCATTTTAATTATCTGTAATTTTCAAATCCATTATGTACACATTCACAATCATGAATAGCCTCTGTAACTCTCACAATTTATTCCCTCATTTCTCAGCCCTACATCTCAGTGTCTATGGTTGTGTTTGTCAATAGGACCAAGATAAAATGCTCAATAATAAAAAAATAACACTCTGATATTGGGTCAATATGCTGTTTTATTACTTGAACAGAATTTTTTTTTTTTAACTTACGGGACAGTTTTTTTCTTCTTGTCCCTTAAGAGCAAATGTCATTTTAACTAAGACCTGGAAACTAGACCACATAAACACAATTCTGACCAGTTCAATAGACCCAGGATAAGAACAAATGTCTTTAATGGTGGCATACGATGATCTTCTAAGCCACTGCTATATTCTATAACCAAAAGCAGGTTTTTAAATACTTGTTGGAGACTGAATTCCTAGGCTTGTGAGATAGTAATGCTATCATAAAGGTCTACTATACTCTCCTACAAAATACACTTTTTACATTCTAAAGCATGGAATGAGTTTTCTAATATATGCTTTGTTGTATTTCAAGAAGCAAATCATAAGCATATAATTTAAAATGTTTAAGTGCTTTTAAAATAACACCTCATATTTCCTAAGCAAAGAATTTTAAGATGTTTTTGAATAACTGTACCCTGTTTCTATTTTATGCTAACATAAAGAGTTGGTTTATTAATGCAAATGACTAAGTTCTTTGAATTGCTTCATCAGTAAGATTAATTTATTTTCTTTTAATTAGGTCCCTGTGGCTAATACTGGCTAGTAGTATTAGCATGTCCTGCACAGAAAGTGGAGCTTAGAGACTTCATACAGACTTCAGTCACATTTACATGCCCACAGCAATGGCATCAAACTGAGTTGTAGACAAGCCATAATTAATGGTATTGAATTATTAACATCCAAATTCTTTTTGAAATAAGATGAATGTCAGCCCCTCTTAATGATACTGTGATGTGGACAAATGTCACTGAATTTAATAGAGGTATCTGGTGCCTGAGGACAGTTACCTTCTCATTAGCCCTGTTGAGGTCTGCAATCAGGGCATCAACATTCTCCTGCAAGACTGCACAAAGCTCAGACCAAGAGAATTTATCCAGCATGCCTTCTGGTTGTTTTATGAGCACACAGCCTGCTACCAAGTGCTGATACAAGGTGTGAAGGAAGGTTAGCTTATCCTGCAGGAAAAAAAAAAAGAAAAATTAATTCCTGAATATAAACATTGTAAGAAGTAAAATACATAGTACAAACAGTGAAGAATTTCGAAAACCTGAAAAGAAATTACAATACTACTCAGAATATTTTACAAGTCTCAGAATATTTTATGACTTTTTTAATATTCAAAACTAAGCACCAGATAGAACATTTGGAATTGCTTACACTTGGTATTCGAAACCAAAATCTAAAGTCTAGAAGCCAGAAGACCAAGATTCATCCATAGTTCTGCTACTGATGAGGTTGTGATTTGAGTAAACACCTGTTCAGGCCTAAGTTTCCTTAGCTATCACACGAGGTGTCAGGATTGAACTTGTTTATAAGCCTATATAAATGTAACTCAATATAGTAATTCTATAATTTAATATTTACATTTGCCAAAAACAGATACTACTTGTCAAAAAACAATACAGAAAAAAAGAGTGTTATTCTACTCTGATGAAGAAAATTATACCAATATCTGTACTTTACATGGACACAGTTACTCAGGCTTCTTCTTCTTCCAGAGATTTCAGTTTACTTACTACTTATAGGAAAGCTATCCCAAGCCCCTTAGGCAAAGCAGATAGTGATATGAAAGATATGGAAGATGGGCTCATTTGTTTTCTCCACTTATAAGTTCATATAGTATTTGGCACACTGGGCATTTGTAGTTGTTTAAATATTATAAAGTAATAGCAAAAAATGAATATAGCTGCTCAAGACATACTTTCAAAAATGTCCAATTAGAAATATGCTTTTTAAAAGTTCTTTAAAATTATATTACCACTTTGGTAATTAAACTATCCAGTGCTGAATGACTTAGAAACACTATGCTACAGAATTTGTATAGAGCAGATCACATTTGAACACACGAGGAGAATTTACTTACTATAATGTCAAATAGCTCTCTTTATAAGGTGTTTCATCTGTAAAGTCCCAAAACATGGAACTCAAAGACAAGGTAATTATGGAACTATAAAATGAATAGTTCATACAGATATAATAAGTTTCCTCAAGATTTTTTAATATATCAAAAGGAAGAAAATTTTTAAGGGGGACAAATGTAAAAAGAAAAATTTAGAAAGTCTGTTACAGATTTTTTTAAAACTGAATATAGCATATGCAAAAGTTTTATGTTATAGAGAATATTTTCTTACAAATATCAAAATGTATATCTTTAATTCACTATGTATATCACCTTACTTTTTTCCAAATGCAGTAATTTTAAAATGGAAAATTTTGAAAATGTGGTTACAACAACAAATATAAAAAATCAGATTTTTTTCACAAATATGCTATGCCTTTTCAAAAGCAGTTAATGATGACTTTTGCATTTTTAACTAGGTCAAAATGTTTTAAAGTCTTACTAACTATAACTTAACAAATGCATAAAAATCTTCCTCCTGTATTTTGCCTAGTGATCACGTTCATCCTCAAGGAAGTTCATCCTTAAGGATAATTCCTTGTGTGTCGCTATTATGTCCTTTTTGCTTGGGCTGTGATAAACCAAGCATGATAATCATCCATTTGGCATGAAAAGAGAATCCAAAATCCAAAATCAATTCACACATGTTGAACCCAACCACAGTGCTGTAGACATGCTGACTTTACAATACAGTCAGGCTTCTAGTTTCCTTTACTTTAATCATTATCTGATGTGTAGAGCAATTCCAACCCCTTCATGTGGACACAATTTAAATCCCAGACTGTAAAAAGAGTGGAAAGAATGTTTCCTTTTTACTCTCTTGGCATTCATGTTCATATTTGTTGGAGTAATGAACTCAATATGCAGGATGACTTAGATAAACCAGTTCCACTAGCTAGCCTAGCTCTATAACCCATAGGTAAAAAGAACTAGAAGACAATTCCATTCACACAGGCTCACACAAAATAAGAAACTTGTGTCATAATATTTTTATAAGCCATTAATAAACAAAAATCGATAGGCAACTCTCCAGGGTGTCTAAATGAAAAGTTTTAATTTTACGGGACTTTTATTTTTCTAAATTTTTATTAACATCCTATAATTATACAGAGTAAGGAGGCTGTCTGTTAAAGTTGATATTATTACTGTTTTACAAATAAGGAAACTAGGCTAGGCATGGTGGCTCATACCTGTAATCACAGCACTGTAGGAGGCCAAGGAGGGAGGATCACCTGAGGTCAGGAGTTCAAGACTAGTCTGGCCAACATGGTGAAACCCCATTTCTACTAAAAATACAAAAATTAGCCAGGCATGGTGGTAGGCACCTGTAATCCCAGCTACTTGGGAGGGTGAGGCAAGAGAATCACTTGAACCTGGGAGGCAGAGGTTGCAATGTGCCCAGATGGCACCACTCCACTCTAGCCTGGGCAACAGAGCGAGACCTTGTCTCAAAAAAGAAAACAAATAAGGAAACTAAGAGTGACGACACTAAGCTGTACAGCTTGTTCACAGCCACACTATTTATAAGCAGAAGTATCAGAATGCAAGTACAGGTCTATCTGATTACAAAATACTTATTCTTTCCACCATGTCAATCTACCAAGCTATTGAAATAAAAAATAATTTTGTCATTGGCAAACAGGCAAATCTTGAAAGGACTGTTAGGCGCATAGTTACTTGAGTTACAATGGTCTAAAAGTCCAAAAAGATAGTTGTACAAATGATAAAAAAAATTAGTTGTGCAAGTTATAGTATTTCTCTCATAAAAGAGAACAACACAAGAGTAATGAAATGAGTAATTTTGCAGCTGTCATGAACATTTCAAAATACTCTGCTTAGAAAAATTTTCTTAATTAAACACAAGTAAAAATAGTCACTTGATGTATAACACTGAGATTAGAGAAAGGCCTTTCCTGACAGTCATTTAGTCTCAAGTAATACCTCAGCATCCTTATGAAAAGCCTGGGAAATCTTCTGCAGTTCACTTTCGGACTGGACTGCTCGAGCCTTTTCTTTCTCCCAACAGTGTAGCACATTTTGTAGTTCCACTTTTAAAGTGTTTATTAAAGCCTCTCGGTCTGCACATTTAGTGTGTAAATGACTTAACTCTTTATTGACATCAGCCAGTTTATCCTGAAGTTCCTGTCATAGATACCAAATAAAGAGACTGTAGAAAGGCCAGCCAATAAGGGGTGACGGGACACTAGTATAAAATACATATTGAAAATTTTCAGAGCTTTAAAATGAAAGAATCACAAAGGCAAACAAGCATCTGCTTAAATTAAAATATTTTACTGAATGTATTTTCTAAATATATCTTAGCTCAAAAATTAGAATATTTGTTATGTTTGAACATTTACATAAAATGTTAATATGATGGCTTATTCCAAAAAGTTCTTTCAAGGAAGTTCTTTCAATCTATTTTAAAAAATAACACTGTCGTTCAAAATTTTTTAAATATTTTTAAAATAAATATCTTACACTTAATATAAGAACATTTACTTTCCAATGACATTCCAAATACTTTCAGAAATCCCAAATATGTAGCACAAAATTCTGCTGAACTGTTTATTCCTTAAACCTAACAAATTCTATTGAAGTGTGTCCATGACATACCCAACATGAAACAACACAATAAAACTCCAGCAATACTGAGAAACTTCTGAGAGTTGACTCAGTATAATTTTGCAGAGATGTAGTACATAAAACCAACACAGAAACTAAAATAAACTATCATCCTGGACCTTAGCCAGGTGTGGTCTCAGCCCATTAACAGACGTGATATACTGAAAACAATGGCTCCACCCTAAAATGATGAAAACTGACTCCAAATACGGATGTGCTTATGTAAAATATGTTTAATATGTACCTAAGGTTGGACATTTAATCTTAAATAATTATTTGAATCTCATAATGTATTATAATTAAATCTGAGAAACAAATTTTCCTTTAACCAAAATAATTTCCAAACAAGTTTTATTTTTTTAATGAAAAAACATTCTTGTTACTCTTGATCAACAAGAAAAAATTAAAATTGTATACAAACATAATTTAAAAAATAGAAGTATATATTTTCAGGTACCTCAATATCTCTACATTAAAATATTCCCTAGATAACTGTATGTGTTTCTTAATACAAAAGGTAAAAGTTATTCTAAATAATACCTTTATATTTTTAGTGTGAGAGTCTATCTTCTGTTTCGTAGAATCAAGTTCATTACATGCCTTTTCCTTAGCATCATTCATGCTGTTTAGCTGATGAAAGAAAATGTAAGTAACTTTTTTACATTTTACAAGGATGGGTAACTGAAAAGCTAATCTTTAAGTGCTTTTTATGCAATGACTTAAATACAAATTTTTCAATAGTAATTAAGAGTCTTTTAAAAATTATTTCTTTTAGTTAAATGCTATATAGCTTCTGTCACAAGTTCACATGGCTAAAAAGAAAAGAAAGCATTCAAGCTTAAAATATCACTGATGTTACTGTATTTTTACTACACATCCAGATAAAGGATTTCATTCTTATGATAAACAAATACAACTTTATTCTTAAAATCCTACTGGACCAAAATGCCAGAAGCAGTGGCATCTATAAGGAAAGAAAAGAGAACAGAGCAGAAGACTGTTCTTTATATACATCATGAGGGTATTCACTGGTCTCTCACTCCATATGACAACTTCAGGGTCGGTCACATGCAGTCCTACTGGGAAGGCTTGTGGCAGGTCATCAGTTGGTCCTGCACCGCTTGTGATTTATTTTCTTTGACAGTTCATTCTTCTTTCTGTCAGACTGCTCTTTTTGCTTTCTTTGCAGCCACCCCCTTGGTCTCCCCACTGCTGTCTCTGGCACTGGTTCACAACAAAGCGCATTACTAAGCCAAAGCCTGCTGAGTCGACTTTTCAACTGTGCTGAGGATCATGTGACATTCATCCTCCCAAATAACAATTCGCTGTGGGTAATATGTTCCTAGTTACCCTGCAGCTTCCAGACCTAGGCTTCAGAAGAGTTTCATAAACTACTAACAATACAGGTTGTTTTGTCTCACAGGGAAAGACTTCATAATATCTGTTCTTCATAGAAATTTAATTATTTCAATGGTCATTTTCTTTTATGCCTTCTGAACAATTACCAAGGGTATTAAGAAGACTCACTTTTTCTTCTTTGTTCATCTTAGCAAGCTAAAATAAAATAAGTCACATCTGAAATGTGAAACGTACACATTTTCTGGCCTTTATATTATATGAAAGAAAGAGATAAACACAAGGATAAACTCAAAATTCCATGCTATGTGACTTGTCTTTGACTCTAACAATCTGTTGTTTTGCTAACTAATTGTATTTAATGTAATTACTTTATATGCTAATTTGACAAGATGTAACTAGACAAACTCTTCAATTTTTAAAGCATGAATTCATAAAACATTTTAATACCCAAGAAAATTATCAACCCACACATTAAACAATACAAATGAGATGATAAATAGAAGCATGAGCTTTTCAATCAGCAAACTAAAAGCTCCCAGGCTACATCAAACAGATATTTGTTTTTTAAAAACTTCTAACAACACTTTACTCCCTTTAGAGAATAAAAACTAATTTCTCTCTTTTTTATTAAGACTTCCACAGTTTGCAGAAATCTTAACCTAAAATACTGACAAAACCTAAATTTCTAACTACACCAAATGTCATAAAAACATATTAACATTTCAATCCAGTACATATTAACTTAAACTACTTGCATAGTGTTTTCACTAAGTTAAAACAGATAAACTATGAAGATCAAGAAACAGTAGAGTCTTTATAACTTTTAAAATAATAGTACGACTGAAGAAAACATAAGTGAGACATGACTTTAGGCCACACTTAAAGAAGAACAGTGACAGACAATTTATTATTTTTTGTATCTGTGAAGCTGTCAGTTCAACATTCCCAATCTTTCTGACCTTTGTAACAAGCAAGGAATACGTACTGGTACAGGCCGAAGGCTATATGTGTGGAGTCAAACAGTGCAAGTGTTACCTCATTAGATGCATCTTCCAGCTTGTTCTGGTAATCTGTCAAGGTACACCTCAACATCTCAAGGACAACAGAGAAGCTGGGAGGTTTATCTTTGTCCTTGTGGATGCCTAGAGAAAAATATAGGATGAAAATATACCTTTAAAGTCACAACAGGACAAAAGTTAGGCAAATAGTAACAGAGATACCACAATTAGGTAGAGCTGAAAAGACATTATGAAACTTTGAGTAGAATTTTATTCTCCAAATATACTGCTGTATGGCCAAGTATTAATAGCCTTTCTAAACAAGCGGCCAAATTAAAGTTCATAATAGATCAAATTAAGTTTATGACTACTTTCTACCTTATCAAGACCCACATAGCAGTTAGTTGTTTTTTGTTTTTTTGTGTGTGTCTCCTAAGTAACTGCAGTGTTTGTATCTTTTATCCAAAAATTAAAGGAATAGTCTATACTACCATTGTTTATGGGAGTTATGTACACTTACTGTGGTCCTTATGTTTATGATTAGTCAGGTTTTTTATACTGCACTATTTTGCTTAAATAATAATTTCTGAACCCAAGAGCATATAATTTTCTGTTATACTTGGAAATATTCTTCCATCCTTAAAATTCTCAAGTTACAATTTGAAATAAACAATAAAAATGCTATTATCTACATAGCCTACATCATGTTTCAATTAAAACCCTTAAAACTGATACCCATGGTAAAAATATGAGTATTTCCATATTATGCCCTCAAACTACTTTAATTTAGTTGGGCCATAAATTATGTTAGTTGAGCTAATAAAGGTCACATTATCAAATGTAGCTCCAAATATTAATCCAAAAAGTTGAGTTTCAAAAACTACTTTAAATTGATTGCTCATCGCACTATTCTTTATGTGTTAAAAAGCAAGTAGCAAATTCAGTTTAAATATATTCACACTGAAAATATTTTTCTTTTATTTTTCCTGATCATATTTTATAATATAAATATTTCAATACATAAGAAATGGATTTTCAACAAAACTAATATTTAAGAGCAGCATTCATATTACATGTCCTACTATTCATTCATTCATTCATTCATTCAACTAATTTACTGAATTCCTACTACATACTAATCTTAGGCATTAAGCAGACAGAGATAAACAAGCTGGCTATAACCTCTGTCCTTATAGAATTTAAGGTTTAATAAGAGAAAGAAAGATGGTAGATAAATATATGACATCATTTATCCATTGTTCAAGCATTCTATTATTGGACTTACGGAGAAAGGGGGAAAAGGCAGTAATAAAGAAAGAAGGAAGAAAGGGGAAAAATTCTTAGTTAATGATAGAGCAACTTTATTCAGCTCAGGGTATTGGTGATATCATATTTAAATCTTGGAGAAAATGTTATCAATATATTTATGAAATTTATCAAGGTGTAATTTATATATGGGTACAACTTGGTTTTTCTTTAACAGAAGAATATTTAACTTAAAAACCAAAAGTAATGTAGAAACAACACATATCACAGCTAGGAAAGAAATATACTGGTCTGAGCCATGATAACAGAGGAGACAGTACTCTTTGTAATGACTATGAGTTGGAAAGACAACTCATTAAAAATTTTATTAAAGGTCTTACCAAATATATATTTTAAAATTCCTCCTTGCACAAGATAAAAAAAAAATGTGATGTATAATTCTTTTCTTTTGCTACTACACAAGTAGACCATGAATAAATCATTCAAGGACACTCGGGAAATCTGCATTTTTACAATAAGGGAGAAAACTTCCTCTTAGAAATTCAGAAGAATCAAATCATCTTAATATGAGTGCTGAACAGTAATGGGACAAAATGCCCTCTCCTTACTGACCTATGCACATTCTTATATTCTACATAAAATAAAGTTTTCTTTCCTGAAAATGTTTATATAATAAACATTACTTGAAGTACAAAGTAAGTTTTATGTCTGCTATGGCTAGATTAGTAAATGCCTTGAAGTAGTCTTCTCTGGGTTAAATCTGCTTGGTGTTCTCTAATCTTCTTGTACTTGAATATTGATATATTTCTCTAGCTTTGGAAAGTTCTGTTGTTATCCATTTGAATAAACTTTCTATCCCTATCTCTCTCTCTACCTCCTCTTGAAGGCCAATAACTCTTAAATTTGCCATTTTGAGACTATTTTCTAAATCCTATAAGGGTGCCTCATTCTTTCTTTATTCTGTTTTCTTTTGTCTCCTCTGACTGTGCATTTTCAAATATCTATCTTCAAGCTCACTAATCCTTTCTTTTGCTTAATCAAATCTACTATTAAGAGACTCTGACACATTCTTCATTATGTCAACTGCATTTTTCAACTCCAGAATTTCTGCTTGATTCTTTTTAATTATTTCAATCTCTTTGTTAAATTTATCTGATAGAATTTTGAATTACTTCTCTGTGTTATATTGAATTTCTTTGAGTTTCCTCAAAACAGTTACTTTGAATTCTTATCTAAAAGGTCATACATCTTTTTATCTCCAGGGTTGGTCTCTGGTCCCTTATTTAGTTTGCTTGTTGAAGTCATGTTTTCTGGGATGGTTCTGATGCTTTTGGATGTTCATCAGTGCCTGGGCATTGAAGAGTTAGTTATTTATTGTAGCCTTCGCAGTCTGGACTTATTAGTTCCTGTCCTTCTTGAGAAGGCTTTCCAGGTATTCAAAGGGCTTTAGGTATTATGATCTAAGTTTTTGGCCACTGCAGGCATATCTGCATTCGGGGCACCCCAAGCCCAGTAACACTGTGGCTCTTGCAAACTCAGAGAGGCACCACCTTTGTGGTCTTGATAAAATCCAGAAGAATTCTCTGGATTACTATGTAGAGACTCTTGCTCTCTTCTCTTACTTTCTCCCAAACAAACAGAGTCTCTCTGTGCTGGGCTAAAACCGGGGGAGAAGTGACACAAGCACCCCCTGGCCACCACCATTAAGACTGCACTAGGTCAAGCCTGAAGTCAGCACAGCACTGAGTATCACCCAAGACCTGCTATAACCATTACTTGGGGACTACCTATGTTTGCTCAAGGCCCTAGGGCTATACAATCAGCAGGTGGTAAAGCCAGCCAGGCTTGTGTCCTTCTTTTCAAGATGGTACGTTCCCCCAGGTCCTAGAAGGATCCAGAGATACTGTCCAGAAGCCTGGAGTTGGAAACCTTAGAAATCTTCCTGATACTCTATTTTACTGAAGCTAAACTGGTACAAGACAAAGTCCTTCCACTCTGCCCTCCCCTTTCCTTAAGCAGAGGAGTCTCTCCCTTGGCCACCATTGTCACAAGCCCACTAGGAGTACTTCCAGGCTACTGCTGATGCTCACTCAAGGACCAAGAGCTCATCAGTCAGCTTGTGGTGAATGCTGCCAGGTCTGGGAATCAGCCTTCAGGGCAGCAGACTCCCCTTTGGCCAAGGGCAGGTCCAGAAATGCCATCAAAGAGCCAAGGCCTAAAGTCAGGGACCCCAAGAACCCACTTAGTGCTCTACCACTCTGTGGCCAAGCTGTTAACTAAGCTGCATGAAAAAGTTCCATTTATTCCTCTGTCTGCTGTTCTCAAGCAGAAAGAATCTCTTGCTATAGCCACTATAGCTGTGAATGTGCTACATCACACTTCAAACCAGCATATCTCAGAGTCTCACCAAAAGTCCACAGTGTATACTACTCGGGTATTGCTGCTGATTAATTCAGGCCCCAGGGGCTCTTTAATCAATAGGTGATAAATCCTGCCAGGACCAGGTTCTTCACTTCAAGGCAGTGGGTTCCCTTCTGGCCCAGGGTGTCTGGAAATGTCATCTGGGAGCTAAGGCCTGGAATGAGTGTCTCAGGACTCTTCCTTGTGCTCCATCCTTCTGTGACCGAGCTGATATCCAAGTTGCAAGAAAAAGTTCTCTTTACTCTTCCCTCACCTCTCAAGTAGAAAGAAGGGGTATATTTCAGAACTATGAGCTGTGCTGCCCGAAATTGGAGGTGGGGTACTGCAAGCATTCCCTTTGCTGACCCTGCTGGTGTCTCACTAGGTCACATGCCCTCTAAGTCTACCGGCTCCAAGGATTTGGATTTGCCTAGGAGTTGCAGTCATTGTGGCCAAGATTGTCTTTCAAGCTTATTTAGGACTCGAGAGCACTTTAGCCCACAGTGGCAAGGCTTTCCAGAGTTCAAATTCCAACTGCTTGGACGGACAATTTCCCTCTGGCTAGGGCTAGTCTAAATGCTCCCTCCATGAGCACTGGCATATTCTCAGTATTGCTTTCCACTGTGACAGAGCAGTACTGAGCTTCAATGAAAAGTCCCACAATCACTGTACTCTCCCTCCCCCAAATGCACAGATTCTCCCCACCACACAGCTGCTACTAGGGCATGGAAGAGGGGTGCTGTCTGCAATTCAAGACTCTCTTTCAACCCTCTTCCATGCTCTTTCAGTGATAGGAAGTTTAAAACAGGTACTGTGACTGCTCATCTGATTTTTGGTTCTTATGAAGGTGATTTTTTGCCTAGATAGCTGTTAAATTTCGTGTTCCTGTGGGGGTGAAGATCACCGGAGGTTTCTATTCAGCCATCTTGCTCTGTCTCCAGCTGCTATGGGTTGAACATGTCCTCCAAAGTTCATGTGTTGGAAACTTAATCCCCTCTGCAGTGTTGAGAAGTGGAATCTTTAAGACGTTACTACGTCATGAGGAGTCTACCCTCACAAATGAATTAATGGGTTTATTATCTTAGGAGTAGGTTTGCTATAAAAGTGAGCTCTCCCCAACTCTTGCTCTCTCTTACCCTTTCATTCTCTACAATGGAATGACGTAGCATGAGGGCCCCCACCAGATGTGCCCCCCTCCTAATTTTAGATTTCCCAGCCTCCAGAACAGTAAGAAATAAATCTCCTTGCTTTACTAATTACCTGGTCTCAGGCATTCTGTCACAGCAGCACAAAAGGAACTAAGACAATGTCCCACCCAAATTTATTATAAAAATAAATATTTACTGATCCCTTAATGACAAAATGCTTACAAATAAAAATAAAGGGTCACCCTAAACCAAGGACCTTATTGGCTGATTTGATTTTGTCTAATAATATTCTAATCACTGCAGCATGGCCCAACAAACAATGAACTATAA